TCCACAAATCTCTAGGACAGGGGAAAATGTTGCCAGTCTCTTTGCTAAAACATAACAAGAGTCACCCTGGACCTTATTGTCCACATTGTTATCAGGCTTTATGTCAAAGCCATTCAACAAGTCTCTAGGAAGTTCTAAACTTTCCTACATTTTCCTGTCTTCTTCTGAGCTTTCCAAACTGTTCTAATCTCTGTCAGTTACCCAGTTCCAAAGTCGCTTCCACATTTTCAGGTATCTTTTCAGCAACGCCCCACTCTACTGGTACTAAGTTATTGTATTACTCTGTTTTCACGCTGCTGATAAAGACATACCCAAGACTCAGCAATTTACAAAAGAATGAGGTTGATTGCACCTACAGTTCCACATGGCTGGGAGGCTTCATAGTCATGGCAGAATGCAAGGAGGAGCAAGTCACATATTATGTGGTTGGTGGCAGGCAAAGAGAAGTTGTTCAGGAAAACTCCTCCTTATAATAACCATCAGATCACATGAGACTTACTATCACAAGGATAGCACACGAAAGACCTGCCCCCATGATTCCATTACCTCCCACCAGATCCCTCCCACAACACATGCAAATTCAAGATGAGATTTGGGTGGGGACACAGCCAAACCGTATCAGAGTCCAAGAACCCACCCCTGCTCTCCCAGTACTGGCATCTGAGTAGGTCAGCTAGAGGCCCAAGAATCGGCCTGTCTGTACCTAGCTAACAATAATGCCGGTGTATGTCACCCTGGGGACCAAAGACAGGTACAGTCAGCCCATAAATCCCACCACTGGGGACAGAAGACTAGCCCAGCTAGCAACCCAGCCCTAGCAAAACTTCATCACAGCCTCTGCTAATAACCATACCCTAAGCTGTCAAGAACAAAACAGGTACCCCTGATGTTTAGAACCAAAGAAATCATACAGAGATTACATTAGTACAATATACCTAGAATCAAAAAGTACCCTATCCAACCAACAATATACATACCTTTTCAGGAAAAAGTCCTCCAAGAAAATTCAAAAAATTGGAAGAAGCAACAACAATACCAGATGTGCAGATATCATTTGATATCTCCACAGAAACACAGTAATGCTCTAGCTAGAGATCTCAATCAAAAACAAATTTACAAAATCTCCCCCCAAAATTCAAAATATTGATCTTTAAGAAGCTCAGTGAAATATAATACTAAAAAAAAACCCAAAGAAATCATAAAAATAATTCCAGTTGTAAATGAGAAATTTACCAAAGAGAAAGATATGAAAAAGAACCAAATAGAAATTCTGGAACTGAAGAACTCATTGAATGAAATACAGAACACATCTGAAAGACTCAACAATAGATTAGATCAAGCAAAAGAAAGTATCTCAGATCCTGAAGACAGTCTTTCGAAATAACCCAGTCATCCTCCCTGGCATAATTGAATGTGGAAAAAGAAAAAAGAGAGAGATAACCCAGTCAGACAAAGAAAAATAAAAAAGGATGAACAAACCCCCTGTGACATATAGGACAATGGAAACAACCAAGTATTTGGTATTTGGTATCCCAGAAGGCAAAGAAAGAATGAGTCAAAAAACCTATTTAGTGACGTAACAGATGAAGACTTCCTGTATTAGGCAGTTCTTGCATTGTTATAAAGAAATACCTGTTGGGGCAGTGGCTCACGCCTGTAATCCCAACACTATGGGAGGCAGAGGCGGGTGGATCATCGGAGGTTGGGAGTTTGAGACCAGCCTGACCGACATGGAGAAACCCCCATCTCTACTAAAAATACAAAATTAGCTAGGAGTGGTCGTGCATGCCTGTAATCCCAGCTACTCAGGAGGCTGAGGCAGGAGAATCACTTGAACTGGGAAGCAAAGGTTGCGGTGAGCCGAGATCACTCCATTGCACTCCAGCCTGGACAACAAGAGCAAAACTGTCTCAAAACAACAACAAAAATACCTGGGCTTGGGTAATTTATAAAGAAAAAAGGTTCAATTGGCTCATGTTTCTGTAGGCTTTATAGGAAGCATGGTGTTAGTGTCTGCTGGACTTCAAGGGAGACCTCAGAAGTGTATAATCATGGCAGAAGGTGAAGGCGGAGCAGAAATGTCACATGGTAAAAGCAGGAGCAACTGAGACAGACAGAATGGGGTAGGAGGTGGCATACACCTTTAAATGACAAGATCTCATGTGGACTCAGCAAGAGTTCACTTATCACTCAGGGGATAGCCCAAGCCATTCATGAGGGATCTGCCTCCATGATCCAAACACCTCCTACCAGGGCCCACCTCCAACACTGGGCATTACATTTCAACATGAGATTTAAGCAAGGACAAATACCCAAACTATATCCTTTCCCAAGTCTAGTAAGAGATATAAACGACCAGATAAAGATGGCCCAGACATCCCCAAACAGACACAATGCAAAAAAAGGTCTTCTCCACAGCACATTATAGTCAAGTTGTCTATAGTCAAAGACAAAGAGAGAACACTCAAACCACTAAGTAAGTGAAAAGTGTGTAGTCACCTATTAAGAAAGCCCCACGGCCGGGCGCAGTGGCTCATGTCTGTAATCCCAGCATTTTGAGAGGCCGAGGTAGGCAGATCACGGGGTCAGGAGTTCAAGACCAGCCTGGCCAACATGGTGAAACCCCATCTCTACTAAAAACACAAAAATTAGCTGGGTGTGGTGGCGGGTGCCTCTAATCCTAGCTACTCGGGAGGCTGAATCATTTGAACCCAGGAGGTGGAGGATGCAGTGAGCTGAGATTGTGCCATTGCACTCCAGCCTGGGCAGAAACTGTCTCAAAAAAAAAAAAAAAAGAAAGAAAAAGAAAAAGAACACCCATCAGACTAACAGCAGATTTCTCAGCAGAAACCTTACCAGCCAGGAGAGAATGGAATGACATAGTCAAAGATTAAAGAAAAAAACTGCCAACCAAGATACCACACCTACCAAAATTTCCTGTCATGAGAAAAATCTTTCCCTGACAAGCAAAAGTTAAAAAGAATTCATCACCATTAAAGGGAATTCATTACCATTAGACCAGACCTACAAGAAATGCTCAAAGGAGTACTAAACTTGGAAGTGAAAGGATGACATTTACCATTATGAAAACACACAAAAGTATAAAATTCAAGGGTAAAGCAAACATACAGATGAGGAAGAGAAAGGACTCAAAGTTACTACTACATAAAGCCTGTAAATCACAAAGATAAACAAGAAAAAGAAAAGAACAAAGAATATATAAAACAACCAGAAAGCAACAATATGACAGGAACAAAACATCACATATCAAGAATAACTTTGAATCTAAATGAATTTGTCACCACTTGAAAGATACAAATTGGCTGACTGGATAAAGAAACATGATCTGGCCAGGTGTGGTGGATCATGCCTGTAATCCCAGCACTTTAAGAGGCCGAGGCAAGAGGATCACTTTAGGTCAGGGGTTTGAAACCAGCCTGATCTACATAGCAAGTCCTCATCTCTAAAAAAGAAAAAAAATTTAAATTAGCAAGGTGTGGTGGCCTGCACTTGTAGTCCCAGCCACTCCGGGGGCTAAGGCAAAAGACTGCTTAAGTCCAGGAATTCAAGGCTGCAGTGAGTCATGATCATGCCACTGCACTCCAGCCTGGGAGACAGAAGAAATCTGGCCTCAAAAAAAATAAAAAAAAGAAATATGATCCAATTATATGATGCCTAGAAAAAACACACTTTACCTGTAAAGGCACATATAGAATAAAAGAAAAGGGGTGGAAACATATTCCACACAGATGAAAACCAAAAGTGAGCAAGAGTAGCTATACATATATCAGTTATGGATGTGAGGGTGATCTGGCTGTGACATCTGTCACTCCATTGATCACCAGGATTGATTCAGTTGATCTGGCTGGCTAGGCAGGTGTCCACCTCCTCCCTCACTGATCCATGGGTGTCCCTCCCAAAGCTCACACTTGGTCGAAAAGGACAATCATCCGCAACTGAGGAGGACCGGTCTTCCGTCAAGGGTATACGAGTAGCTGCACTCCCCTGCTAGAATCTCCAAACAAACTCTCAGGAGTAGCTATACCTGTATCAGATAAAACCAACTTTAAGTCAAAAAAAGGTAATAAAAAAAGATGATGAAGGTCATTATACAATGATAAAGGGATGAATAGAGCAAAAGGACATAACAGTTCTAAATATATCTGCACTCAACAATGGAGCACACAAATTCATAAAGCATTACAAGATCTAAACAGAGACACAGACTCCAATATATTAACAGTACCCTATGACTGCTCCTGTGAATAGCCACTGCACTCCAGCCTGGGTGATGTGGCAAGGCTCCATTCTCTTAAAAAGGAAGAAATAAGAAAAATTTGGCCATGGTCAGGCGTAGTGGCTCATACCTATAATCCCAACACTTTGAGAGGCCAAGGCAGGTAGATCATTTGAGGTCAGGAGCTGGAGACCAGTCTGGCCAACACAGTGAAACCCTACCTCTACTAAAAATATAAAATTTAGCCAGTCGTGGTGACACACACCTGTAATCCCACCTATGCGGGAGGCTGAGGCAGGAGAATCACTTGAACCCAGAAGGTGGAGGTTGTGGTGAGTTGAGATCACACCACTGCACTCCAGCCTGGGCAACAAAACAAGAATCTGTCTCCAAAAAGAAAAAAAACAGAAAGATCAGGTAACAACAAAGCTTTCTTACAAGAAAAAGGAAAAAAAAAACAGAAAAGAAAAAAAGTATTTCCCACAAGGAAAGCCCAGTACCAGATGGCTTCACTGGTAAATTCTACTGAACATTTATAAAAGAATTAACACCAGCTGGGTGTGGCGGCACATGCCTGTCATATCAGCACTTTAGAAGGAGGACGGCAGATCACTTGAGGTCAAGCATATAAGACCAGCCTGGACAACACAGCAAGACTCCATCTCAACAAAAAACTCTAAGCTGGTTATTCTAGTTAGAAAAGAAAAAAACAAAAAAAACAAAAAAAAACAACTCAAAACTGGTAAGGCATGGTGGCAAACACCTGTATACTCTTAGCTACATGAGAGGCTATGGATGGGAAGATAGCTTGAGCCCAAGACTTCAAGGCTGAAGTGAGGTATGAATGCACCACTACACTCCAGCTTGGGCTACGGTGAGACTCTGTCTCTTCAATTAGCTGAGTGTGAAGCTGAGGCAAGAGGACTGCTTGAGCCCACTATGTCAAGGTGGCAGTGAGCCACAATTGCACCATCACACTTCAACCTGCATAACAGAGCAAAACCTTCTCTCTCTCAAAAAAAAAAAAAAAGAAGAAGTTGTTAATTCCAGTCCTTCTGAAATTCCTCCAAAACACAGAAGAGGACAGAACACATTCCACACTTCCCATTTTATGAGGCCAGGATTACCTTGTATGGTATAAGAAGAAATACATTATTTGGGGCAGGGCGCAATGGCTCACACCTGTAATCCCAGCACTTTGGGAGACCACAGTGGCTGGATCACCTGAGGTAAGGAGTTTGAGACCAGCCTGACCAACATGGTAAAACCCCTTCTGTACTAAAAATAGAAAATTAGCTGGGTGTGGTGGCCTGTAGTCCCAGCTACTTGGGAGGCTGAGACAGGAGAATTATTTGAACTCAGGAGGTGGAGGCTGCAATGAGCTGAGATCTTGCCACTGTACTCCAGCCTGGGCAAAACAAAGCAAGACTCCGTCTCAAAAAAATAAAAGAAAAGAGGAAATACATATTTAGTCTCTGCTCCATAGTTCCTGACACAAAGCTAAAATCCTTGTAACTTCCTGAGTGTAAGCTGCTAGCAGCATCTTTTGTTCTAATATGTACTCTCTGGACCTGGTTCCTGACACAGAGCTCCTAAATTCCTTGCAATTTCCTGCGCAATGGGATTACAGGAGTGTCTACACAGAGCTCTTAAATCCCCTGGAATTTCCCAGGTGACCGAAGCATCTTTTGTTCTAATGAGGCAACTCTTGGTGGGCTCCTGGAATCTTCAGAAAGAGAACTGGTCACTAGAAATACCAAGCCATGATTACATGCCTACACCCTGAAACTTTTAGACCCATCCACATCCACATCCTCTGGGGAGCAAAGAGAATATGGAGATTGAGCTAACAATTAATCATGTCCACATGATGAAACCTTCATTAAAAAAAAAAAATCCCTAAACTGGCTGGGCACGGTAGCTAACGCCTGTAATCCCAGCACTTTGGGAGGCTGAAACAGGATAGCTTGAGCCCAGGAATGCAAGAACAGCCTAGGAAACATACAGAGACCCCATCTCTACCAAAAACAAAAACAAAAACAAAAAAAAAAACCCCTAAACTAAGGTTTAAACAGCTTCTGAGTTGATGAATGCATTCATGTGCTGGGGGAGAGAAGCACCTGCACATGGGACTCTTCCAGACCCTGCTTGCCCTGTGTACCTCTTCATCTGGCTGTTTGTTTCTATCCTTTATAATAAACCTGCAAACATAAGTAAAGTGTTACCCTGAGTTTTGTAAGCCCATACAGCAGGTTATTGACCTTAAGAAGGAAGTTGTGAGAATCCCCAATTTGTAGTCAAGTCAGGCAGAAGGGTAGGGACCCTTGGCACCTAATACTTGCAACTGATGTCTAAAGTGGGAAGTTAATCTTGTGGGTCTGAGTCTTTAATTTGTGAGACTGTGGTAACTCTAGGTAGTAAGCGTCAAAATCAAATTAAATTGTAATACACCCAGTTGGTGTGAGCAGAGAACTGGAAAGTTGCTTGGTGTGGAAAAACCACAAATTTGGTGTCAGAGTATTCTGTAGATAGAAGAAACAATTTTTCATTTACCCTAATACCAAAACCATTTAATTAATTAATCAGTTAATTTTTTTTTTTTTTTTTTTTGACACAGAGTTTCACTCTTATTGCCCAGGCTGGAGTGCAATGGTACGATTTCGGCTCACTGCCATCTCTGCCTTCTGGTTTCAAGCAATTCTCCTGCCCAAGCCTCGCAAGTAGCTGGGATTACAGGCAAACATCACCACACCTGGCTAATTTTGTATTTTGAGTAGAGGCGGGGTTTCACGATGTTGGCTTATTGGCCAGGCTAGCCTGGAACTCTTGACCTCGGGTGATCCGCCTGCCTTTGCCTCCCAAAGTGTTGGAATTACAGGAGTGAGCCACCATGCCAAGGCAACAAAACCATTTAAAAGATATTACAAGAAAAAAACTTTCAAGAATATCCTAGCGAACTATGATATATAGTGCCCCTCCAGTGCCTTTCACCCCAGCCTGGGTGACAGAGTGAGAACCTAGCTCTAAAAAAATGAACAAACAAAAACTAGCAAACTGATTTCAGCAACATATGAAAGACATTGTATACCATGAACAAATGGGATGGGACAGGGAGGGGATAGCCACGCTAGAAGGACCTATTGTGAGATTAGATTGTAGAGGCAGTAGGGGCTTGAAGCAGCCGAACCTCCAGGGAGAAGATAGGGGGCCAGAGAGTGAGTTTGTTTGTAAACAGGGACCCTCTTAGTTCCCCAGGCTGAAGTGCAGTGGCACAATCATGGCTCACTGCAGCCCCAACCTCCCAAGCTCAAGCAATCCTCCTGCCTCAGCACCCCCAAGTAGCTGGGAGTATAGTCACATGCCACCACACCCGGATAATTTTTGTATTTTTTGTAGAGACAGGGTTCACCATGTTGCCCAGGCTAGTCCTGAACTCCTGGGCTCAAGTGATCCACCCACCTCAGCCTCCCAAAGTGCTGGGATTATAGGCATGAACCACCGTGCCCAGTTGAGAGTGCATTCTATCACAAGACAAAAACACTAATTAAAAACTGTTACATTGGCTGGGCGTGGTGGCTCACGCCTGCAATCCCAACACTTTGGGAGGCCAAGGCAGGTGGATACCTTGAGGTCAGGAGTTCCAGACCAGGCTGGCTAACATGGTGAAACCCTGCCTCTACTAAAAATACAAAAATTAGCCTGACATGGTGGTACGCATCTGTAATGCCAGCTACACAGAAGGCTGAGGTAGCAGATTGCTTAAACCTGAGGGCAGAGATTTTAGTGAGCCAAGATCACACCACTATACTCCAGCCTCGCCAACAGAGTGAGACTTCATCCAAAAAAAAAAAAAAAGCAGTTATGCATGGCCAAGTGTGGTGGCTCACACCTATAATCCTATCACTTTGGGAGGCCAAGGCAGGAGGATCATTTGAAGCCAGAAATTCAAGATCAACCTGAGCAACATAGTGAGACCCAATCTCTAGAAAAATATAACTAAATTAGCTGGGCATGGTAACATGTGCCTGTAGTCCCTGCTACTTGGCAGGAGGATTGCTTGAGCCCAGGAGCTCAGGGCTGCAGTGAGCCATTTTGCAGCATTGCACTCCAGCCTGGGCAACGGAGCAAGACCCTGTTTGAAAGCAAACAAAAAACTGTCATACTAAGTGAGCAGCTTCCTGATTGGTGAACATGGTGATGCCCAGATTCTACCGGGAGAGGGCACAGAAGCCCTGGATGCAGGATCCTCCCAGATCTTGCCTTATGTGTCTCTTTATCTGGCTGGTCTTAAGTTGTATCCTTTATAATAAAGCCATAACAGTAAATAAAGCACTTTCTTGAGTTCTGTGAGTCATTTCAGTGAATTACAGAACCTGAGGTGGGTTATGGGAGCTCCTCAAATTTGTAGCCAGTTGGGTAGAAGTGCAGGTGACGTGAGGACCCCACTTGTGGCTAGCATGTGAAATGGGGACAGTCTTGTTGGTGACATTCTATCTTGTAAAACGATGAAACCATCCTTCATTAACTAAATGGCATGACACCAGACTTTACTTACAGCTCAAATAATATTACAGGTCTACATTAGCACATGGTGTCTAATAGCACATTTAATAGTTGGAGACCCGGGTGCAGTGGCTCATGCCCGTAATCCCAGCACTGTGAGAGGCCAAAGTAGGCGGATCACTTGAGCCCAAAAGTTCCTGCCTGGCCAACAGAGTGAGACTCCACCTCTGGAAAAAAATATATTATCTCAGCATGATGGCAGGTGCTTGTGGTCCCAGCTACTCAGGAGGCTGAGGTGGAAGGATAGCTTGAACTCAGGTCAAGGCTGCAGTGAGCTGTGACTACGCCACTATACTGCAGTCTGGGCAAGAGAGCAAGACCTTGTCTCAAAAAAGGCTGGAGAAAAGAGTTGCTCCTCAGATGGAATTCAAGTCAAATTATATTTCTGGTAGACAATTTTTCAAGATCAATCAAGAATCAACTTTCAACCCCTATAAACACATATATCACTTATCTGTACTTCTCATCTATAATGAATTAAATCCACACTATGTATTAAACATATGTGTTTATTTATATAGAGTGGTTATTTCAATTTATTTGAAACTTCCATTTGTTTCTTTGTGGGGACAAAGGAACAGAAGGGATGTCCAACAAGTATCAAATCTCTGTACCTAGCAGAAAAAAGCAATCTCTAAAATTACAACAAACTTTTTTTGCAAATAAAATTGACAGACTATCTGGGCAGGACACAGGCTCATGCCTGTAGTCCCCACGATTTGGGAGGCTGAGTTGGAAGGATCATCTGAGTTCAGGAGTTCGAGACTTGCCTGGCCAACATGGTGAAACCCCGTCTCTACTAAAAATACAAAACTTAGCCAGGTGTGATGACACACACCTGTAATCCCAGCTACATGGAAAGCTGAAGCAGGAGAATCACCTGAACCCGGGAGACAGAGGTTACAGTAAGCCAAGAGGTGGCAGTAAGCCAAGATCACACCACCGCACTCCACCCTGGGAGACAGGGCACCACGACTCCATCTCAAAAAAAAAGAAAAAAAAAAAAGACAGATTCTCTCATTAAAGGAAACTTTACCTATAAGAGAAAACAACTGAGAACAAATGCTACGATAGTTAAAGTTATTTTTAATTACCTTAAGTACATAAACAAGGCATTCCAAAAAACTCTTCTTAAAGCATAAATGTTAAATGCATACTTAATGTTTATATAGCATATTCATATGTACATAAGAACTTAAATAATTCACAAAAACAAAAAGAATTGTGAAGTATGATATATTGCTATACTCTGTTTATTCAAGTAAGCTTTTAGAAAGCTATGAAATTAACATAGTGCTTCAAATAGTACTTATATGTAAGTTATTAGAATTCTGATTGTTTAAAACTAGAAAGTCACGTTATTTTCCCTATAAACAAACCCTGGGTCTTTTAAGCTGTTTCCCTCCTCAGTAAATAGAATTATTAACTACTCACTCTCCAAGCCAAAAATATGGAAATACTATTACTACACAAAACACTTTGCATCAATCCATTAACTAAGTCCTTATCAATAATACCTGCAACTTCTCTTTCTCAGATCCAGCCTTTTCTCTCACTCCCTGTGGCCACTTCCCCAGCTCATATCTCACAATATGACTGTAATATTATAACAACGTCTGGGTGGTTTCCCTATCCCCAAACTGCCCACTCCCTTTCCCCAAAGGACTGTTTCAGAAATGAGAATTTCAGATCAGCCCTGGTGAAGATAACATAAATCAATTCAGAGAAAATGGGGTGGGGCTCTACAAAACAAAGGTAAATAGCAGAAACAGAATAACTTTTCCCCCTTGGTATCTTAGGAAAGATAAATGCAAAACTGGATTTTTAATTATACTCAGAGGATTTGAATAAAAAATAATAAGCTTAGAAGAGGTTAAGAAATGAGTTGAATGACTACCCAAAGATTCTCCATCTCAGGCACTATTATAAAACCCAGTCTCAACTACAAAGCGACACCCATCTCTTTAAAAAAAAATTTTTTTTAATTAACCAGGTGTGGGGAAACAAGTAGTGCTAGCTGCTGAGGCAGGAGGATCACTTGAGCCCAGAAGTTTTACATTGCAGTGAACTATGAACCACTGCACTGCAGCCTGGGCAATAGAGCAAGACCCTCTCGCTAAATAAAGAAGAAAAGGAGGGGGGATCCAAGATGGGGAGGACCCAGAGGGAAACACCTGAATCATTAAAAAAAAAAAAAAAAAGTTAAATGAGTGAAAAAACAAGGGAGGGAGTTGAAATTGAGTAATGTATATCTTTGCAAGCAATGCCCAAAAGAAAAAGGAGTTATACCTGAAAAATGTCTAGTAAACAAGGGACAAAAGAAAATCTAAAAATATTTTGAAGTATGTGACACATTCATTCAACTAACATTTGAGCATCTACTATATGCTAAATACTAGGCTAGAAATAGAGTGAATAAGAGAAAATGAATTCTTTATGGAACTTATTATTGATAGTCACTGGCATGTTCCCTTTATTTAATGTGCTACATTTTTACTTTAAAGAAGGGAAAAATACATGCAAAGCATTTGTAACTCAAATCTAATTTTCTCACATGGTCTTAAGTTCCTCAACCACAAACCTTATCAGAAACCTAATATATATAGTTAGGTTACAATTTCCCATACATGCCATATTATCTGAAATTTCTTTGCCTTCTCCCATGCTGTTCCCTGTCTGGAATGCTTTTCCAACTTCTATTCAAACATTCAAATTTCCGTAATGCCTATAGTGATGTTATGATTTCCCCTGGCCAAAATCAGGTACTTGCTCATTTATATTCCCAAAGCACCTTGAAATTACTCTAAACAGCAGTTATACTTTGTATTATAACTGCTTGCATAACTATATTCATGCAAACAAGATCAGGTAAACATGATACAAATATATGCTGTCTACAAGAAACAAAATTTAGAATCAAAGACACAAGGAGGTTAAAAGGAAGGAAAGGAACACACCATGCAAAGTAAACAAAAGACAGCTGAAGTGACTATGCTAATACCAGACAAAATACATTTTAATCTGGGCAAAAATACAGACTTTAAGACAAAATTTGAAGTATTAGGACAAATAGGTAAGAACAGACATTCCTGACTACACATTAAAATTACTGATGCGAGTGTCTCAATCCCCAAGATTCACTGGAGCATTGTTAAGGCCCAGGCATCAGTATTCTTCAGAGGGATTCAAGTGATTCTAATGCACAGCCAGACACAGTTAATGATACATGATTATCATAAGGGCTAAAAACACTGAACTGCAAGGAAAAATAAGACAACTACTTTAATTAGGGTAAATAGAAGTCCTAGCAGTAGGGGAACACACCCTGGAGGCATCTGATGACACAATTCACAAAACTTTTATAGGTACAGAAGATGGAGTCTTATTTCAAAAATATTCAAAAAGAAAACTACTTCATTGAGCCCATCCCATTAAAAAAAGTTTTTAAATAAAAAAATTAGGCTGGGTATGGTGGCTCACGCCTATAATCCCAGCACTTTGGGAGACCAAGGTGGGCAGGTCATTTGAGCTCAGGACTTTAAGACCAGCCTGGACAACATGGTGAAACCTCATCTCTACTAAAAACACAAAAATTAGCTGGGTGTGGTGGAGGATGCCTGCAGGCAGCCCTAGCTATTCCAGAGGCTGAGGCAGGAGAATCGCTTGAACCTGAGGTAGAGGTTGCAGTAAGCTGAGATCATGCCACTGCACTCCAGCCTGGGTGACAGAACAAGACTCTGTCTCAAACATAAATAATAAATAAATAAGAAGAAAATTATTTCAAAGTGTGAGAAAGACTAGAATTTTCCCAAGCAATAATGAAAAGCTGGTTAGGATTCATGTCCAAATATCAAGGCATTCAACTGTTCCTATGACTTGCAGTTCTTTGGTTTCAACATATTATCTCATTCAAATATTATAGCATTTTTAAAATAATGTTCATACTAATAAAATTAAAACTTTTAAAGTAAAAAGAGGTGAGCGGGGAAATATGCTATATTATCTGACTCAGAAGCCTACGTGTTCAGACCACAACGATAGTACTGTGGATTACACTACAATCATTGTAAGATCATACCTGTGGGGACAAAACACTGGTTAAGAGTTGGGCTCTGAAGCCAGACTTAGCCCGTTTTAAATGCCCACAGCATTACAAATATTTTTTTATCAAAATTTTCTCCAACTCTTTAACAGTGTGTGACTTCATGCAAGTTACTTTACCTCTCTAAATAGTTTCCTTATCTATGAAATGAAAATAATGATACTATAAATAGAGTGACTGTAAGAATTAAATAAGATAATGTTGGTAGAAGACTACCACAGAGTCTGGCTCAACAGTAAGCTCTGATAATTTTAACAGTACTACTACAGGCATTTAACCTATAAAATTATGGTAAAGCATGCATACTACAAAGCCCCTTATTTTTGCATTTTTAAAATTTATTTTTCTATGAAAGATGAGAATGGAGAAGATAGTTCTAAGGGAACTAAAGGGAAGGTCCAAAATAAGGGAAAATAGGACACTAAAGGAATGAGATATAGTTATCATGGTGAATAAAACTAGGTAATAATGGAAGATAGACTATAAAATGAAAAGGCCATGAGGCAAAAAGTTAGCAAGGAGAAACCAGTTGACCACAGTCAAAATCACAGGACAAAAAGCCTCTAAAATGAGGAATATTATGGAATGTCTGAATCAGGTGCCAGACCAAGTTGGTACTGCTATTTATTGCTTATTTGTGGTTCTGATTAACTGAAGGTTGGCAAGACTTTAATGGGAATATAAAGTAAGCTACAGTATACTTCTGATTAGTCAAAGGTTTCCAATATTACAGTCTTGCTATTTTCCCAAACTCCAAATACCAAAAGCAAGTTAGAATGGATTATTTAGAGTAACTCATTCTATCTCATTTTCTTTTCCTAAAACACTTTTAACATCTAAACATTGAAGAAGTGGCAATTTTATTTGCAGAGCCAATTGTGAGGATGCCAAAGACAAAAGGAAAACAGTAAATATCAAATTCCCTGAGATGGCCAGCATAACACATGCCTAAGCTAAGCTTCATAACCAGTACTGCACTTCCACTGCAAAACACACTGATGACCAAGGCATTTAATCCCCCTTACTAGTAAGCTATGATCTAGAACATTCTTTCCCAGTCCTGTGTCCTCTAAGTAACCTAAATCTTTTAGGTTCTACCTTTAATAACTACATCCTTTCCCATCTGAGTACACGGCATTACCATTCATCTTATCCTCACCTCATCAGTCCCCTTGGATAAGACAGGCTTGTATAGGAGTAATGTTACAACAACTCTTAGCCTTACTACCAACTACTATGTCACATGGCCCCCATCCTGGCATTGCCTTATGACAATTAGACAGAGGTAGCTGTGGCTATTCTTCAATGAAAGAAATTTAGTTCAATGTAATATCATCACCTTCTTAACAAGAAAGCTTTTAGACTCACCTAACCCAAGAAAGAGGAGTAATTAAGACTGAAACAGTTAGTTGTAAAAGCAATATTGAGGAGACTACTGCACCAGTAATATTTTTCATTCACAGGGCATTCTAGGCATTTGGTTTGTACTATACTGGTTCTTTTTTTGCAAAAAGGGGGTGGAGTCTCACTCTGTCACCCAGACTGGAGTGCAGTGGCACCATCTCGGCTCACTGTAACCTCTGCCTCCCAAGTTAAACAATTCTCGTGCAACAGCCTCCCGAGTAGCTAGGATTACAGGTGTGCACCACCACATCCAACTAATTCGTATTTTTAGTAGAGACCAGGTTTCATCATGTTGGCCAGGCTGGAAATTTGTGTTATACTGGTTCTAAATGTATCCTCAAATACAGAGATCATCATCTGATACAGACTTCCATCTTCATACACTGGAATAGGGATCAGCAAATTTTTTTCTGTAAAGGGCCAAACAGAAAATAACTTCTTCAGGTTTGGGGTTTTTTTTTTTTTCTGTGACAGGGTCTCGCTGTCTGTGTCACCCAGGCTGGAGTGCAGTGGCATGATTAGCCTCAACCTCTAGCACTCAAGCAATACTTCCAAAGTGCTTGGATTGCAGGTGTGAGCCACCACAGCCAGCCCAATACTTTAGGTTTTGAACCTGTATGTTCTCTGTGACAATTGCTCAACTCTGCCACAGTTGTGTGAAAGCAGCTATAGACAACAGTATGTAAACAAATGAACATGGCCGTACTTAGCTATCACAGACTGGGCTTTAACTTCAAAGTTTTAGAGCAGAACATGGTCCTATAATAAATTAAGGAAAACTATTAATTTTACAAACATTTACTACATATTTGGTCTTACCTACCAATTGCTAGGGATACAATGATAAATAAGAATCCCTGTCCTCAAAGAGTTTACCATCTTGTAGGTTAGACTGTTAAGTGCAAAAAGTGTCATGAGGACCATTACATAAAATCTACAAAGGGTACATGGAGGGTAAGGAGATGGAAGTGGTTAATTTAACTTGAAAGACAGAGAGCAAGAAATTTTTCACAGAGCACTTGATACTTAAAGAGCAGACTAATGACAGGTACACTGAGTAGGCAAGGGAAGGAGGATGGGGATGGGATATTAGTCTCAGTGGAAGGATGAGGAGAAAGCATAAATGTGAAACAACCTTTCACATCTTCAGAGATGTGAAAGCAGTTCAGCGTGATTAAAACTAGCAATGAGAAATGAAAAGCGAGGTTGAATATAAAAGTGGATAAAGAAATAGACTCAATATGACTTACTATCAAAGTAGAAAGTGTCAGAGGCTAAGGTCTAGGATGCCTCCTTGGTTTCTGATCTGAGTGAGTTGGGTAGATGACAGTAACATTCATTGTAAGAGGTAATTCAAGATTAAGAGTAAATAAATAGGCTGGGCTTGGTGGCTCACACCTGTAATCCCAGCACTTTGCAAGGCCAAGTCAGGTGGATCGCTTAAGCCCAGGAATTTGAGACCAGCCTGGGCAACATAATGAAACACTATCTCTACTAAAAATACAAAAAAAAAAAAAAAAAATTAGCTGGGTGTGGTGGCACATGCCTGTGGTCCCAGCAACTTGAGAGGCTGAGATGGGAGGATCACCTGAGTCTGGGAGGTAGAGGGTGCAGTGAGCAGAGAACACACCACGGCACTCCAGCCTGGGTGACAGAGTGAGACCCTGTCTTAAAAAAAAAAAAAAAAAAGAGAGAGTAAATAAATAAAAGCAGCAATTCTAATTTTTCTTTTATAAAGCTTCTTTAGAAATTAAGTTTTAAATAACTTTTTGGTGATTATCAAAGAAATGCACAATTAACATAAAAGATGAAATGTGAAAAAATGTAAGAAAAACCAAAGGGAAGAAACCTATATAATCCTACTATCCAGAAAATAATTAAGATAAACATTCACAAATACTGGGGAAAAAGACTTAGAGTCTAAAATAAATAGACTCAGCCTTCACTATGAATGCGTTCCGGAGGAACTCTTGCTTATATGAGCCATATATAAGTTATATACTTAATGTTGCTCTTCAAGCAATCCTTGTTCAATTATAGGAGGCTGAAGCCTGTTCTGTCTGCTGGTGGGGCACCTGTCAAGTTCTCCCCTCATGCTCTTCTTTTTTAAAATCAACTTGGGCTGGATGCAGTGGCTCATGCCTGTAATCCCAGCACTTTGGGAGGCCGAGGTGGGCAGATCACTTGAGGTTAGCAGTTTGAGACCAGCGTGGGCAACAGGGCAAAGCCCCATCTCTACTAACCAAAAAAATTAGCCAGGCATGGTGGCAGGCGCCTGTAATTCCAGCTACTAACGAGGCTGAGGCAGGAGAATCAATTAATCACTTAAACCCGGGAGGCAGAGGTTGCAGTGAGCACTGCACTCCAGCCTGGATGACAGAGCAAGACTCCATCTCAAAAAGAAAAAAAATAAAATAAAATAAATCAGATGTAGTTTCTGCTTAGTGTGCCCTCACAGCCCATGTTCTTACATTGAAAAGATCACCTTGATTTTGAACAAATATTCTAAGCGTAACTTTTAGTTCTTGTTCATTTGTCCTGCCTCTAAACTGGTAAGATAATTAAACACTGCAAATTCCCAACCATCTCATCCCTGCTTCTTCAGAAATTTTTACCTTTTATTAACAGAAAGGCACAAATTATGAAATAATTTGCTATCAGAATATCTTACACAACTTACCCTGAGAGAAACCAAGTTCATCTGGTATTTTTAAACGGGTATTAAAACTTAATTCTTGCCCAGGCACAGTAGCTCATGCCTGTAATCCCAGCACTTTGGGAGGCCAAAGTGGGTGAATCACCTGAGGTCAGGAGTTCAAGACCAGCCTAACCAACATGGAGAAATGCTGTCTCTACTAAAAATACAAAATTAGCCAGGTGTGGTGGCACATGCCTGTAATCCCAGCTACATGGGAGGCTGAGGCAGAAGAATCACTTGAACCCGGGCAGTGGAGGTTGCAGTAAGCCAAGATTGCACCATTACACTCCAGCCTGGGCAATAAGAGCAAAACTCTGTCTTAAAAAAAAACTTAATTCTGAGCAAAACATGAAAGCAAAAAGTAGTCTAATAATGATGATGAAATGGGATCAAGTTTGCAATTTATAATTTGTAAAGGGAAACACACACACACACACACGCACACACACACACACACACACACACACACACACAGAGAGAGAGAGAGAGATAACAGAGAACTGATACAATTTAACAGATCCCAAACTCACAATAAAAATAAGAAGTGGCTGGGCACAGTGGCTCATGCCTGTAATCCCCGCACTTTGGGAGACCAAGGTGGGTGGATCACCTGAGGCCAGGAGGTCAAGACCAGCCTGGCCAACGTGGCAAAACCCTATCTTTATTAAAAACACAAACATAAGCCAGGCATGGTGGTACATGCCTGTAATCCCTGTTACTTGGGAGGGTGAGAAAAGAGAATCACTTGAACCCAGGAGGCAGAGGTTGCAGTGAGCCAAGATCACATCACTGCACTCCAGCCTGGGCGACAGAGTGAGACTGTCTCAGAAAAAAAAAAAAGCAGAGAAAGAAAAAAAGAAGTAAGAAGTTTTGGCCACAAATGGTGGCTTATGCCTGTAATTCCAATACTTTGGGATGCTGAGGTGGGAGTATCACCTGAGGCCAGGAGTTCAAGACCAGCCTGGACAATACAGTAAGACCTCATTCTCCACCAAAAAAAAAACTTTAAAAATAAGCTAGTCATGGTGGCATGTGCCTGTAGTTCCAACTACTCAGGAAGCTGGGGCAGGAGGATTTCTTGAGCCCAGGAATTCAATGCCCTAACTCTGAAAAAAAAGAAAGAAAATACATTTTTACAAAGTAGGCATTCACCTCCGAAATCCACTGATAATATTCAAGCAATACCAGTTTAATACTGTTTAAGTCAGTTTCCTCTATTATTGTGGTTCAATTGTTTAGTGACTTGGAAACCCCAAAAATATGTTTCTTTTTAAATTTCAGTGCCTCCCTTCTTCCTAACACACCGGTACATACCTCATGCTGAACACACTGGAGCTAGCAGGCACTGTAGTTTATGGCATACAAATGAAAGATAGCTTAAAATGGAAGAAGCAACCCCTTCAAATGGCTAAAGGTGGTGCAACTTCAGACACGGTGATCAGGAAATGGAAGTAGAGGGGAAGTGGAAGAGTAAGGAGAGAATGTCTGCTGTTCTCTCTAGTTTAGGCATCAATTTGCCTGGAGGCACTGCTTGTGCCCAACTGCACAAGAGTGAGCAAAAATGTTTAAAAGTTAGCTAATATAAACCTAACTTACAGATATGACCATATAAAGCTAAACAAATTATAAATCAAAGCCTGACAGAATATATGTGATTAGAAAGTATACATTATACTTGCTCATGTAATTAAAATGTTTTTAAAAGAATGTAGAATATACCCTAATACCTTTTGCAGGATCTACTCTACAATAACAACAGAAAATAAACAAACAAACAAAAACCAAGCATAATATATTAAGACCATACACATCAGGTAGAGTAAAATTTTATTAAATCCAGCAACACATATAACGTCTTCCTTGAATACATGATTCAGTTTAACATGTACTTTAGGACTAAATTATTCTTACTTTTTCATATTGCATTGGTCATACATCTCACCATAAAACTCTCAGATAATTTTAGTCTACAACTGTAGGCTAGAATTTTATCAAGTGGAGTAGATTATTGCTCCACTTGATAAAATCTCAGAAAAAAAAAAATAAGTCTTTGAACAATGTAATTAGTTTCAAGCTCAGTCTAGCTACTTCTTACTACATTAGAAAATTCTTTTAAAAGGCTCATGTTTAATTTTTTTTTTTTAGAAATAACCCCCACAACATTTACTGTAGCTGTATCTGTAGATACCAGATGTTCAATATACATATTAAATGAATGAACTCACTAATAAATGCTTACTTTATCTTCTTACTGGTGAGGTCTGTTTGAGAATTTAACAAAACATCTAAATTTAAGGCAAATTTTTTAATCATTAAAAGACTGGCTTATGTTAGCCAGACAAGTTCCCCTGTCTCCATTACCTCCTAGTACCTAGGGCAATGCCAACAACCTCCTTAACTTTATGACATCTCAAAAATAATAGAGATGAAATTTATTTCTTTCTTTCCCTCTAATAAGTGCCCCAAAGAATATTTATTTTTTCAAAGGCAGAAGCGCCACAACTAAAAAATTTCAACCTAACCAGGCTCTGAGTCAAGCAATACTACTATTAATATATGTATGCCCTATCAGTATCTACCACTATAGATTCAAGCAATCTCTAATACAAGCACCTGGTAAAATTTTTTGTTTAAATCAACACATGGTGTTGCCAGTTATAGTAGTTACCTTTCCACTTTATCAAATGCATCTAAAAATGTATTGTCACACACAGATCAGTTACAGTAACAGTAAACGAGAACATAGTAAGTTATAGTTACAATTCCAGTTAAAAAAGCATATGCTTTTATCCTTGATATTTTGACTTCAAGAGTTAAAATTCAAATCATTAAAATTAAATGCAGAAATGAAACAAAAAAACCACTGTTCAACTTAATATCATACAAGCAATTTAGCCAACCATAGTATAAACTATGAGAATCCTAACACATTATCTGTATTTACCTTAATAAACATCAGATATGTAACATCTCAACCAACATCTAGACTGTTTTTAAAGAATAAAATAACCGTAATTACTTATGAAATGTGTATTACTGTTGGGCATTGCACAACTTTTCAAACCTTGAGATCAGAGTGGTCCCTGCTATCCTCTTTCCAGCTGCATACTACTTTTTGTGCATTTTACCACAGCAACCACTAAAAAACCAGCTTCACAAAGACATGTCATCTATAGAAACATAGCACAATCTTGAAACCATGAACTATGTAAGGCAGTAGTTCACCTGGCAACCAGCAAATTTCAACTATCACTGTATCCTATTTGAAAATTTAAACTATCAGATGGAGTTGGCAACAATGCTCTGGGGTGCAGTTTGGAAACCATGATCCTGTGGCAAGCTATACAACTTTATGGCTTTGGACTCAGACTTGGGTTGGAAATCAGATTCTACCATTAACTTAATCAATCTATTGAGCCAGAGTTTGTATGCCTGCCAAATAGGAATAATACTATGAACAACTTTAGGGAACACTTGTAAGGAACTAAATCCATGCCTTTTAACTCTTGTCCACCACAACTCTTTCCCAAAAAGATTCAGTTCAAATCTTGTTGGCTGAACCACTATCGTTTTATCAGCTATTTGAAACAGGCTGAAAGTTTGTAATAGTTATCAACCATAGTGGTTCAGCCAACAAGCGAACTTGTTGATGATGATACCATGGTTCATCATCAAAGTTCTGAAAATCTTTCCCCTCCACAGCATTTCACCTGCAGAGACTTTTCATTTGCCAAGTGTTCTGAACTGTGTAACATTAATTAACAATTGTTCTAAGATCACCTTATGACAGGATCTATTATTATCAGTCCCCTTAGCAACTCTATAACAACGGTAATGCAGTGGCTGAAAAAAATGATCCTTCTTAGCTCAGATTGCCTGCCATTTTTACTTAGTGGCCCACTATTCAATTCATTCAACTCTAATATTGTATTCCTCTGATATTAATATAAACTAAATGCAGTGATCAAAATAACTAAAAGAAAAGGAGTGGCAAGCAATCTCATATACCACCCAAAATACCATGTCATCCTGGAAAACCTATGCATTTCAACTTGGTCCAGAGAGATTCCCAAAATAATTTGCTAGCCATCCTTTCCCCAAATGCCCACAGTTCGTTCTCTGAGAGATACAGACTATCATTTCCCAAGGCATCCTAAAAGCAACTTTCTAAGGCATGCTACTTCACAATGACTACTTTCTTAAAAATAAAAAAAGGGGCCAGGCATGGTGGCTCATGCCTATAATCCTAGCACTCTGGGAGGCCAAAGTGGGTGGATCACCTGAGAGGTCAAGAGATTGAGACCAGCCTGGCAAACACGGTGAAACCCCGACTTTACTAAAAATACAAAAATGAGCCGGGTGTGGTGGTGCATGCCTGTAATGCCAGCTACTCAGGAGGCTGGGGCAGAATTGCTTGAACGTGGGAGGTGGAGCTTGCAGTGAGCTGAGATCATGCCACTGCACTCCAGTCTGGGCAACAGATTGAGACTCCATCTCAAAATAAATAAAAATTTTAAAAAGGAATGAAAATATAATTTGATAATGAAATTACTAAACTGAGAGTTTAATTTTTAAAGAAATTCTGAGGGAAGTCTTTATATAATATAATTAGACACCCTCCTATTTTGTACTATTTTTTAAATTAACCTTTTGTAAGCCACTTTGTTAAGGGTGGAAGGGATGTGGGCTGGTAAGAAGAGATTAACAGACCTGTACTATAATTGCTGTATTAATTTGAGTCTTCAGTAGTCATAACATCATACAGATTTTTTATGGGTAATACTCTGAAGAACTTCATATTTGGCGCTTCCTAGCAATGCAAATAAATTTAGTTAACAGAAACTTCTTCATTTACATAGAGAATAGAAGAGCGACCCTGCTTTCTTGGAAAGGAAACAGCTATCTGTCTTGTACAATACCTAGTCCACTTTGGCCAGCTAACATACACAAAAAAAGAGACGTATTTGGAAAATGTTTCTTCTCCAGCCAAGGGCTGTGTCCAGATAAAGGCAATGCTCAGAGTATAACAAAAAAGCCTTCTCTGAGGAAAGAAGTGTGCCAGAAAAGGTGAGGCAGGGATTGGGAATAAATGGGGGTAAGTATAAGCTCTCAGTGTGAAGGCTGGAAGCAGCAGGCGCAGCGCTGAGATGCTCCAGCAAAAGAACCAGCAGCAGCAGCAGGAAGTTTCAATGGGGCCGGGCAGAGCATGCGCCCTGCACCCGCGCGGTGGCCTTATGTGGAAGGAGCACCACTTGCGAACACCAATAATAGACCAGCGGCACCAGAGAGAAACATGAGCAACAAGCACCTTCTTCAACTGTTTCCCCCTCCGTCAGAGCCCCTCCTCCAGCCTACATACTAACCACCCCACCCTACCCTGCAAACGAGAGGGAGACGACTTCTTCCCCTAAGCCCGGCTGCCAGGATAAAGGGGGAAGGGATTGGAAAAGTGGGGAGATGCTCGTCTATTATTTTGGAGGAGGTGGGGAGAGGAAGGAGAAAAACTATGGAGGAGGAATTAACCCTCTCCTCTCCAAAGTGGAGCCGAACCGACTTCGCCCCCCTACAGAGAATGAAGAAGAATCCCCTCCCGTGGGGGAGGAGCAGACCTCCCCACTCGAAGGAAGGAGTTTTGGGGGTTAAACCAGCCATCGAAGGGAAGGGAAAAGGGACAAATCTCTCGGGGGAGTTCCCAACAGAGGGAGGGTGAGTTGAGTGTCCGCTGGCCCCCGCCCACCCAGGTGAAGGGAGATACGGAGGTGTCCGGAGCTGCCGAGCCCAACCTCCCCCGAGACTGTAGGAAAGATTGGTGGGAGGAGGGGAGGGAGTAAGGGTGGGGAGGAGGAGAAAAGCGCAAAGCTGGCCGGAACCTGCGCTCCCCTTCCCCCGCCGCCAAGGGGGAGATGGGGTGGGGGGCCGGCCTCCGCCGCGGAGAAGCAGCCCTGGGCTACCGACCGGCACAATAATCCCTCCCCGCACCCAGCCCACACCTAGCCCGCAACGCCCCCACCGCCGCTCCCTGCCCGGCCGAGTGGCCCTAGGGGGCCTCCGCCCCGCCTCCCCACTGCCCAAGACCCCGGGGGCCGGGCGAGGAAGACCAGCCCGGCGGAGTTGCGTCCTAGTGTGAGGACACAGCCGCGGAGGCCCGAGCCGCGAACACCCCGGGCGTCTGTGAAGAGCAGAAGCAGGAGCGCGCCAGGGCCGCTTCCCGCCGGGCGTTCGGGCCCCTCGCTTACCTTCTCCGTTGCCGACGTCCGGCGGCGGCGCCTGCAGCACCCGCTCCAGCTCAGGGAACGGCAACTCAGGCAGGTCTAGCAGCGGCCCGTAGCGCTCCAGGAAGGAGCAGACTACGGCGAAGTTGGGGCACGAACCCGGGCAGCCCGGAGGAGCCATCGCCGCCGCCGCTGCCGCCGCCGTCGCCATTTTGAACTGGAGGATGGAGGAGGAGGCGATGGGGGGGCGGGATGAGTTGGGGTGCCGAGGGACGGCAGGGTAGCCTTACGGACGACAGGAGGCGCTCTCAAGTGGGCTCCCCCGCGGACATCAGCGTCTCAGGGACGGCGCCGCGATCCCACAATACATCGGCGGCCCGGAGCAGTCGAGAACCGAATCAGACCGGAGACAGAGAGGCCCTCTGCGCCTTTCACTTTCCGCCCTCTTTCCGCCCCTTTCTCCCCTCCCCTTAGGGCTTGCCACTGCCTCGTGTGACAGGGGGAATGAAAACAAGGGAAACGGGGCGGGGAGGCGGGCTGGAAGCGAGAGGGGCGGGACTTCTCGAGAATAATGGCCAATGGACACAGAGGGGGCGGGGCTTCGGGCGCCGAACCGCTGCAAGGCGTATTCTGGGAAGGCCGTAGGGGGTGCCGAGCCAGAAGCCACGCTGGGAGCCGAAGTGTCGGGGAAGCACCGAGCCGTTTGAGAACCCAACTTCGAGGAGGCAGGGTGGTGGGTGAGTTTTCAGGGGAATCCTAAAACTGGGCCACGAAATGGTGGAGAGGTCGAGGAGAATTAAACCGAAGAAGGGAATAGGGCGGGGGAAAGCACAGTTGTGGGAGAAGGTTGGGAAGGGGAAAGGTAGAGAGGTGCCCTTAATTAGGGGTTGGGCTGGGACCTTTGTAAGAAAGACGTCTCTGCGGAAGTTTGCCAAGTGGGTATTGCTCTCTGCTGGGGTAGGGCAAATGCAGCTTTGCTGGAAAAGCAAAGTCTGAGGGAACGGAACTCGGGGGGAATCCTTGAATGAGGAGTTGGGGCCCTGCTGGGAGAAGAGGGTCTAAGGAGACTAGGCTCTGCCAGGGGACCCAGGGTGTGAGGGGAAATGGCCCTGTTCAGGGACCAAAGTCGGAGTGTGGGCTGGGACTCCACTAAGAGGCCGAACATGACAGACGGTGGAACAGCAAAAAGTTTGTTAGAAGACAGGGTTCCACTTCGTGGAGGGGTAGGGGGAGAGCAGTGAACATTCCCACAGAGAACCTCGGAGAGAAACTACCAATAATGTAAAATAGAATGTGCAGCGTGAGAAGAAGTACACATTGTGGTTAGAAGCCTGAGCTTTGGATTCAGTCAGGCTTAAGTCTTAGCAGGACCACTTCATGACATTGTGAAAATTTCTTCATTTCTTTGAACCCCTTAAAGTGGGGTCATACTAGTACCTATATCACAGGGTATTACTAGATAAATCACAGTAAAGTTATTAGCACAGTGCGTTAGCACATAGCAAGTACTTTAAAAATATTAGTTATCAAAAAAGGAGTTCCTATAATTTAGACTAAATTCTGCTATATTTATTTAGTCTACAATTTTTTATGAGAATTTCTGAGTGCATTTAAAACTTAAATAGTACCTAACTCCTAAAAAGAATTTGGCCTGGCGCGGTGGCTCATGCCTGTAATCCCAGAACTTTTTGGGAGGCCGAGGTGGGCGGATCACCTGAGCTCAGGAGTTCAAGATCAGCCTGGCAACATGGTGAAACCTGTCTCTAGTAAAAATAAAAAATTAGTTAGCCATGCTCCGGAGGCTGAGGCAGGAGAATCACTTGATGGAAGGCAAAGGTTGCTGTGAGCCAAGGTCATGCCACTGCACTCCAGCCTGGGCCACAGAGCAAGACTCCATCTCAAAAAAAAAAAAGAAAGAAAAAAATTGAAGCAAGATACAACACAAACCATGTAAAAAAGAGAAATCTGTAATTAAAGAACAATAAGAAATAGATGAGCAAATAATTATGTGAGGAACAGGGAAAATGGTTACACAGTTAAACCCTGAATTTTGTTCTGCATTTACAGGTTTTAAAAAGGGGAAAAACCATAAGGGTGTATATCATTCCCATTATCTAAAGAAAGAATACTCAATTTATCAAGAGAAAAATTCTATATTGTAAGAGGAATTTATTACCTTAAATAGTGGTTCATAGCCTTGAGTAGTATACAAACCCTTTTTAAAGGAAAAAAAATTCCTTTGAAACTTGGCAAATACTTTTGAAAATTCCAGTGTAAGAAATCAAAATCTAAAGAACAATGTAAGTGTAGTTAATGCCACTGAAGTACACACTTAAAAATAGTTAAAATGGCATGTTTTATGTTACATATATTTTACCACAATAAAAAAGCTTTTAAGAAACCAAAATCCTACGTCAGTAAAATATGGTTATGAATTATCACTGCCAAAGAAGTTTTAATTTAATGAGTGGAAAAATATTGTTTTTAAGCAATTACTGAAATGAAACAAAACTAAACTAAAACATTTTTATAGGACTACCAAACTGTCAAGTATATATCTCTTAACCCTGGGGACCTGAAGACCCCAGTTTAAAAATAATCTGGGTGACATGGGGTGGCTCACACCTGTAATCCCAGCACTCTGGGAGGTTGAGCAGGAGGATCCCTTGAGCCAAGGAGTTCAAGACCAGCCTTGGCAAGGTAGTGAAACCTCATCTGTAGTCCCAGTCTCAAGAAAAAAATAATAATAATCCAGCTGGGCATGGTGGCTCACGCCTGTACTCCCAGCATTTTGGGAGGCCAATGTGGGTAGATCAAAATGTCAGGAGTTTGAGACCAGCCTGGCCAATATGGTGAAACCCCATCTCTACTAAAAATACAAAAATTAGCTGGGCGTGGTGGCAGGCGCCTGTAGCCCCAGCTCCTCAGGAGGCTGAGGCAGTAGAAATGCTTGAACTCAGGGGGCAGAGGTTGCAGTGAGCTGAGATCGCGCCACTGCACTCCAGCCTGGCAACAGACCGAGACTCTGCCTCAAAAAATAATAATAATAATCTGACCCAGAATACAGTTTTAACAACAGTTTTGTGGAAAGGTACAAAGACT